GAAGTCCTCCGCCAAGTATGGCATGTACTTCGTCGAGTTCAACGACAACGCCACATCACGCACTTTCAAACGTGTCATGTCTACCCCCATCTACCTTAACGGCGAACTCTGCCACGCCGCCAAGGCCCTCGACTCGAAGCCTCCGACTCCCCAGTGCTCTATCTGCCTCCGCTGGGGTCATCGGACCCACCTGTGCCGCTCAATGACGAAGAGGTGTTGGAAGTGCGGCGGCGCACATGATGAACGGGACCATGCGAAGACCTGTGGTCCTTGTGAGAGCAGGCGTACATGTAAGAGAATTATAAATGTGCCCGCTAGTAAGGAATGGATTATTTACAAAGGTTCCAGTCCTACCTGAGGGAATGCATACCTTTATAAATGGCCCATATGGCTTTCGACGCCCCTAGCACCCTTCCGGAATGCTTCGGATGCCCCGGGACGTCCAGGGACGCTCCTCCTCTCGCGCTCGTCGTACACTGCGCCCCGCCCCGACATTCCTTTTCGGGACATTGCACGCGCATGCGCTGCCTGGCGCTTCCCTCCGCCCGCCGCTGCCACACCCGCCGCTGCCATGCCTGCCGCTGCTGGCCACGCCCTCCGTGCTCCTTTCTTTATTTCTCTTTTTATACTCAGGACTGTGTCTTTCAATAAAGCTACTCTCTTGTGTACGTGTCTACCTCTCTAATAGTGCGGCCGCCATCATCGGGGACCCCCACGCATTCAGCCTCCGTCGACATTCTAGATCGTCACCGCGCTCTATCCGTCGCCGCCGTTGCGCTCTGCCTGACGCCGCCATCGCGCTCGTCATCGTCAGGAGTAGCACGCAGCCCTTCACATTCAATCCGCCCTCGGCGCCACCTCATTCCCATTCGTTACCGATCACGCCTGCACTCGGTCGTCGTCCTTCCTGTCCACCGCCCCAAATCAAAAGGGTTTCCCCTCACTCGTCGTTTCAAAGGTTGTCGAGAGGTGTCTGGACATTGGGCGGGATATCGTGGCGAGTTTCTGAATGTCAGGTGCGTGTATCAACCCGTTCATTCATCTATTGTTGCTGACGTGGCCTCTGTGCCTCTACCATCGCTATACCCAGTTTCAACGGTCTACGGCCATCTCCTTCCCCACCTCTGCGACGCTTGGTTCTTGTAAGCCTGCCATCGCCGTGCGGCCTCGCCACGCCACACTTCTGTATATTTCCCTTGCGTACAGTACCTTTTTTCCCGCTTCTTTTGTCATTCTTGGGCCGTTCTACTACGACGCGATCTTTTTGCGTGCACATACGCTTCACATCACCCTCGAGCTCTCCCACGTCATCGTCTTCTCATTCGTACTTGCCTGCCACTTCACCCTCGAGCCCCGTGCCACGTCACCATCCCGTCCTTTGTCCTTCTCCCTTCACATACAATCTCAAGCATGTACTGCACTCTTATACCTCGGCAATGGCATCATTTTCCTTTGCTCATGTGTCCGATGTCGAACCCGCCGATCACAACACACGTGCCACATCGACGAAAAGAAATATACAGAAAAACAACGTAACTAAACATTAAATCGACCGGGTGATACAGCAAAGAAAGAAGAGGTACAAACCAACTCACCGTTTACTTCCCATCGAGTACGCTCTCTCGAGAAAGGAACGTATCGGCACGCTCGCGCACTGACAACCACCGAGACCGAAACACACGCTCGAGCGCACGGAACATGTCAGAATGCTCCCAGGCGTACGCCTGCAGCCCCTCCGACTGAACATCGTCCGGAACCTTGTAGAGGGCCTTTCTATCCCACCACGTAGCCTGCCAGCTAAATGTGGCGAGAGTTCGCCGCATCTCTTCTCGTAGCAACCTCACCTCCTCCTCCCACCTCTGAGCTCGGGCTCGAGCCTTCAGCCATTCCACACGAACACCTAGAAAACATGGCAACGTCGTTCTTAGGACAACTACCCAAAACAAAGACTAGGAAAACTGACCGTGATTCATCTCCGTGCTCAGCGCTTGGCCTTCCTCTTGTTCCGCCACTCCCCCTTCCCCGTTTGCCCCTTCGTATTCCAAACCACCGACGGTCCATATCCACGACACTGTACGCCGACTTTCGCCAGACACAGTTGCATTTGTACGTGATGGGCCGGCCGGTACGTCGTCGAGGATGGCGTCGGCGTTGGAGTCAGTAGTCGACGCGGGGGTGGGGGTCGGTTGACTCGTCGAATCGGACGGTATAGCCTCATTTGTTGAAGATGACCTGTTGGCCTGGGCGCGCATCCGTATCGCCTCGTCCTCACGCCTCAACAGCTCCCGCTGAGCACTCTCACCCAATCCTACCACATCGCCAGCCTTCAACTCCCGCATCTTGTGCTTCCATGGCCCATCGTTGCCCTTCAACGCGATGAATGCCTTTCGGGCTGTCCTGTACCTTGCCGCCGCATCCGAAACCTTCACCTCAATCGTCTCCTGCAATCCTCGGGCCCTCGTGTTCCCTTTCTGTCCAGTGACGTTGTGAATCTTCAGCTTAACCATATAGACGCGTAAGTGTAATTGGCGGCGTAGGTCTTGTAAACCTTCGGTAGCGCACGCGTACCGCAGGTCGGCTTCCATTTGGGCGAGCAAGGTGTCGCAGTACGTGCTACGGAGGTCCTCTTGGATGTCGGACGGCATGTAAAGGCGTATGGTCTCTGGCGTTCGTGAATTCTCGTTATCGGCTGATGGAGTATCCTCTGGTATGATGATCGAGGCGACACGTGGCATGTGAATATCTTGCTCGAGACGGAATCACTGGATTCGACGGAGTAAGTGGGTACGCAACTCCTGCAGCGCTGTCTTCTGGTGGTCTGAGGCGGCTTTCTTGCTTCGATGGGAAACATCGCGTCTATATACCGCGGTGAATATTCTATTGTAGGTGCAGGTCCATGGATATCACTCACTGGGCGTTCTCAATCGCGATTCCTTCAAGTAGAAAGGCACTGCGTCCAGGTATAATGTTGTGTTGGAGTCGTACCTGCTCCGCTTCTTCTTCAGCCAGTCGCCTTGTGATTATCGCAATGGTGACATCTATCAAATCAAGTCGATTAGTTTGACCATCTCACGCTGGAACGAAACATTGAAGTTGTACTTTCTCCTTCAACCGTGTAGGGACTCTTCATGCCAGAACTACCGCTTTCATACGTACGAATCGTCGCTCGCCACTCCTGAAGTTGGTCGAGGTGATGCTTCATCAAATCTTCCGTAAATTCCTCATATATGCCGATGTGGTTGTGCGCCTCTTCAAGAGCGGTCTGCAAGCGACGCTCGAAGAGATCAACTACATGTAATAGTTTATTAGTTGGATACTCAGCAGCAGTGGACTTCACATACCTAGTCCTACTAGCTTGCGCCAGTTTGCGTGGCCGCAATGGTCGTCTATCGTGTCGTGTCGCGCGCCAGCTCCCATCTCCCGTGTGCTTGTCGCCACACCATTTATCACGGCCCAATTTCTCTCAATTCCTTCACCATCGGTTTGGCCAGCGCCGACCTTGAAGCTCAAACTATGTGGCGGGTGGCAAGCTGATTCATGGCCGACGAGATGGAATTTTGGAACGGCCAGGTCCACGGCTTCCTTCGGAATGGTCGGCCTCAGGTTTTCGGGCATTTGGGGAAGGCGCTCAGTCCAGAACTTCACCTTCCACTGGCAAATGACGTCGTAGCTGAGGAGAATTCTGAGGACCAGAGTACCTCTGATGCTCGAAAGGTACATAAAGTCCATGTTGCAGTACCTACGGTGGTAATCAGCATCATAAATCGCGGTAGCGGTCGTGTGTTATGACTCACCGCTCGCCTTTCTGCAAGTCGCCCATACCAGTTGCCCGCCAAAATGTGTGGCGTGCACACACACATGCACCAACTCCTGTGGAACGAAGGCCGCGGGCGTTCTTTTGATTTGCATTCGAGAGAGCTGAGAATCCGGAACAAGTACTAATCTACGGCGGCATTTGAGTTATAGCCGACGAGAGACATCGCTGAAAAGGTAGGTAAATAATCGTACCTCCTCTTGCGTGACGTATTTCAGGATATGCTCCCGGTAGGCCTCCTCAGGAACGAAATAGGCCCACCCCGTGCCGAGGCCTGGATCAGCTTTGCTATTCGACCGAAGGCGGTTCTTGAGGCGAAAGTTTGCATCCATCGCGAGGATAAGGCGATATAACCAACTGAAGGGCGTCAGTACAATCACTATCAAACGAAACTTGAATACTCACTGATCGCCTTCGGGCACTGTATCCCACCCGCTTGGAAGATTTCGATCCGGCTGAGGACACGCCGGACATTGAACGGCGAGCTCCCCCAGACCTGTTCCTGCGATTCCCTCGGAGTCGTGGGCTCGTCCTGCCCGCTTTACTATCTTCAGGTGGCGCCACTCTCGCACCATGATCATGAAAGACGGTAGGCGAAACTATAGAGCAGCCGTCAGCTTGTTTCGGTGGATTCTCAGAAGAGGGTAAGGCTCACAGGTGTAGAAAGAACCCCAGTGTTGTCCGTCAAGAGCTCGAGCCCATGGATGAAGTCGTATCCCGTGAGCTTACTTTGAAGTGAGAGTGTGTGGAAGAGGCGCATGGCCTCGAATGTGGCACCAGTTTGTGGATCGATGATGGTTGCCGGGAAAATCCCCGCCCGAAGAAGCTGCACTCGGCGAGGAGTGGCGGTGGACTCGCAGCGACAGAAGGCGATTTTGATGGTGTGGATCCCGTTAGTGTGAATGATCGTAAATGTCTGAATGTCGGCGGAGGCGCAGGGCTTCTCAGGGCAGTGTGGCCCCAAAGGGACGCACAGCTTGAGGTTAGCGAGCGACTCAGGTTCGAAGTACCGACTGTTCCATCTCTGGAACGAGTTATATAGCACTTTAGAAAAGTGAAGGAGAAGGATACCCGATACACGTACCTTGATACGATGGAAAGGGCTTCGGTGGTGTTGTGCCACCGCACAATCCTCGCAGACCAACTGACGACCATGGCAGTCATCGCACCGGATTATTGGGAGCCCCTTGTCACACGAGGGACAATACTGCTGGTCTCTCCAATAGCTCCGGCCTTCGAACCGCACGAACTCGTCCAGGTATTCGGAGCGGTGAGGTAGCCAAGTGCGCAGTGGATTATCCTGGGGATTATTTCAGTTTCGGCCTGTGAAAGGGATAATCGACACATACCGAGGCAGCGTACTTTTCCTTGCGTACATCCCTGGGGTCGATGTACACTCTATGCCCTCCGTCCTGGTCATCTCCCTCCGCATCAACATCTTGATCGTCAACGCACGGGTCTTCGTACTCTACTTGCCTCGAGAAAAAGTTGTCATCGATATCGGATAGCTCTGCGGGAGGAGGGGTTGAAGGTAAAGATGTGGAGTTCGAAGCCTGCGGAGTGGCTGCCTGAACGCTGATGTCTTCTCTATTCCAATGTAGTCGCCGTTGATCCGTGGAAGTTCCGAATGATACCCCCGACGCATTACCTTGTCGTGGTGGAGGTACGAGTGCGTTTTTTCGTGATTTCTTCGCTCGCTGCATGTCGTGGTAGTCATGGAGAGACTGAGGGAAAGAGGCGAGGTCTATGGGAGTCTTTAAATGACTGAGGGCAAAGGTGCATTCTGCGCGAGGACTGAGAAGACTGGGGGCAAAGGGCAAGGTCTATGGCGGCCATGAGGGCAAAGGGTACCGTCTGTGGGAGTCCTGAAGACACTGATGGCAAGGGGTGAGGTCTGAGGGTAGGGGGTGAGGTCGTGAAGTGTGGCCGCAGCAATGTGGCACAGACAAGGCAGTCGAGATCAACAAAGCAAGGCGCGTCGTACACGTGCCTATGTTCTTTCATGTGATTCACGACTTGTATATTTTTCGCTGTACAGCACTTGGGCCACACAAATTGGGTATTGTCTTTGTCTTTCGAGCGTAGCACGCCGGCTTGGCCATACTGAGTCAAAAGTATCATGAAGATTACCGTAAGTAGACTAACGTAAGAGACAACATGGCGAACTATTTGCTGGAAAGGTATAAGTAAAAATCAACGCCGCCACCCTCTATACCATCGCGATTCCCGGATTCTCATCCACAGACTCCGCTCCTCCTTCGTCCGCAAACCGTAAGTGCTCGATAATGTCCTTTCGCAGACCAGCGATGGTAGAAAACATGGAGCAAGCCTCCACCCACCGCTGTTCTGCCGATGCCTTCATCGCTTTCCACCCCGCATAGTCCTGTTTTTCAAAATTCTCCTCCGTCCTACATCCGTAACGGAACCACCGCATGAGACCTCCAGGACAATATTGCGTGAAAGACTTGCGTATCTCCCAAGGCCGTACCGCGATATTCCCATGTGCAACCGCCGCAGATGGAATCAGGATGGCGCAGCCTGGAGGAAACTCGACCACCAGCTTCCAATCCCAGAGGATCAGATGGCCGCCTTTCTTTGGGTCATAGTCGCCGAGGGCGTATATGGCGCACATTGACCAGACGAGGTTGTTGAAGTCGCGGTGGATGCGGGTGAAGACGGAGCGGCCCAAGTTGAAGGTGACTGCGGGCCATAGACTGCGGAGAAAGGGGCGCTTGAGGGAACTGTCGTTCTTCTCGAGCGCGAGAAGAGCGTCGTCGATGGCGCGGAAGGCTTTCGGACAGGCAAAGGCATACGCCGCTGCAAAATGTCTATTAAAACATACGCAGCGTTTGTTAGAAAAAAGACTCACCGCTCCCCCACTGCGCTATGTGACGAATCCACGGGTTGCTACATAAGTCCTCAGCTGCCTTGGCATTCGCCTGGGACTTCATGTCGAACATTGTGGGAGTCTAAGAGAACCAGTAAAACGGACATTAGTATTGATAAATAAAGCAGTAGGTGGGCTGGACGCACCTCCTGGCCGCCACCGAATGAATACCCAGTGAACAACGTCGGAAAAATACCACGCCGACCTTCCTCAGGCCGCTGAGGAGTCTTCATATTCATGTGTGCGTTGTCCATGGCCTTGCAAGCCTCGATGTTGACGATCTCCCAGCCCGGCATACGACCAACACACTGGGCGAGGATGTTATCTTCGGCATCCACCAAGACGAAGCTTTCGCTGGTAAGGTAGGAAATCCATTCAATTAAAGAACGAACTGTCAGACAAATGGAGTTCACTTACGCGCCGTCCCACTGTACCAAACCGAAACCCTGCCACACGATAAGCTGCACCACGGTCCATCCAGCCAGCTTAAAGACATCCAGCGCACGGGAGCCAATCCACGCACCAACCGCATGAGCCATGCGCGGGGCAGAAAAACGCTTCAACACGGCCTTATTCTTGACCTCGCCGTGTTTGTCGACGATGCCGCGACGGAAAGTGAGAGCGACGCGTCGCCGGCTCACAGCTAGTTCCTGCTGTGCCAAAGCTTCCGCTGCGATACGTTGGCGTTCTCGTTTCTTGTGTGTGCGCGAGTTTCGAGGCTTCTGCCTCCGCTGGGGCGATGGGGTTGGCGTGGAGGCTGCAAAGGTGGGTTTGGAGCTCGACAAATCCGTGGCCAATTCCGAGAATGAGGATGGGTCCGGCTGTGGCGTAGAATATGAAGTCGAGGCGGACGGCGGCACAGGGTTCTGGCTTGAGCCCCACATTCGAATGAAGGAGCCGAGGATGGGAAGGGAGGCCATGCCAATGGGAGCCGATGCAGAGCGAGCGCGGGTGACATTTGGGGATGGGGAGGTGGGTGAAGGGGTGAAGATCGACTGGGGAGTTTTTAAATCCACAGGGCCCGCAATGTGGTCGTCGGGCTCAGTTTCAGCGACTTCTGCGGCAACCTTGAGCGAGGCGCGGAGACTAAAGCTACACGCAACACTGACAGCTCGGTGGATAACCGTAGGAAATGGTGAGAAGACCTTCAGAGAGCGCGTCTAAGTTGCGCGTCAGCAAACAGCCATAGTGCCAGTAATGGGATACTCACTACGCGCTCCATGGCCGTAATATCTGTAGGCCAGATATGGAGCTAGTGAGCTTTGAGGAAGTCAGAATTGTGCATCATGGGCGGGGAGGTGGAAAGATAAAAGAGAGAGAGAAAATGCCTGTGGAAAGACCCCTACCTCAGCTAGGAGAGCCGTGTCCTACTCTGGCAAAGCTTCGGTCGGGGAGTTTATTCCACAGGTCGAATGAAAATGAAAGAAAAAAAGGTAGAGTAAGTGTAAACGCGAAAAGACACGTACCTGTATCCTCCAACACGTTGAAGGCAGCGGCGACGAGGTGGAAACACGTCCCAACCTGAAACTATCAACCGTTACCTTATACCTCCGTTGCCGCGATCGAAGTCCGACCGCGTCCGGCCGAGCTGTGTGGTGCCACTCGTACGCCACACACCGAAACGAAGGCAGAACAAAAGAATAGTGCTACAGCTCATGGTGAAGGGTTTGTATTGACTGGTTCATGTATATACAAACCGTAAATATCCCCTCCGTGTGCCCCAAATCAAACCGACGCCCGCACAGATAGCTCTGGAGCCTTACTACCACCCATACACTTTACGAAACTCGAACCGGTTCACCCTACGACAGCCAGCAGTAAGATTTCTTGAATGAACAGAAAAGCGGGTGGGTAGATCATACCTATGTCCCTCGAAGATGATAATATTATCCTCCATGGCCGCCTGGATCGCCTGTTCGCCTTGCTGCATCAGCTGCAACATCTGGTGATGCCCTGCAACATACCGTCGGTGACGATGCTTGACCACGGCTAGCATCGCTGAACGAGGTTCCTCAGCAGCAATGGCTTCGTGGGCGTCCTTGATCTCCTCGTCCAGTTGGGCCCTTAGCTCTCGCTCGTACTCGTCGCAGGCTGCCTGGCGCCCCGCCGCCTTCGTCTTCTGGAATATGTCATAGAGAGACTTGGACACCATCTCCCAGCACATGTTTTCGTACATGCGTGCCTCACGGTCCCGCGCGGGATCCTTCTCCTCAAAGAATTTGAGTGCGATTGGGGTAAAATATGAGCTGAAAGAACGAAAAGGTATATGTCAGTATTTGCCCAAGATGCGGAACAAGACGTGACAGAACACGCCGAGAAGGTCAGAACATAAAACAGGTACAGCGCACCCTCTAGTTCCTTCAATGATACGGTTTGCCTGGGTTGTTATTTGTTCGCGCTCCTTCTGCCCGATCCTGCGTCGGCCCAGACTTGATTTCAGAATACTGCGACGCTTACCGCGAGGCATGGGTAGGGAACTGGAAAGATGATTTAGAATCGCACGGTATAAGCACCACGAGAAACACACCTTTTCGAAGCCACAGGAGGTATAGCCATAAGAGCAATGGATCGAGCGGCGAGGAAATTGACGATGGTGGTCGTGGTAAGTGTAAGAAGAACCAACCCAAGTGGAAAGAGTCGAGTTGCGGCGGGCTTACTTGAGTGGTTGGTTCCCATTGTTGACAGCCTACGCACCGTAGATCAAAGCCTAAAAAATAAAACAAAAGCGGGAAGACTACTTAAATACGAGCCCGAACCCAAATATAAATTTATGTATGCGTCGGGGTGAGGGAAGTGGTATATGTCAGATCCAGCCATGAAGACGGAGAAAGTGCAATATACACACTCAGTTTTGAACGACCGCTCCTACACGTTCTTTCGACTCATTTAGACACTCACCAAAAACTTTTGGATTCCGAATTGGGGCTCACCTCAACATGTCTCCTAAATATTTGCGAGATTTATGGAGGACGGAATACTGGTAAACAAGTACGATGAAAGTCGACAGGTGGTCTGTGGCCCGACTCGAAGTGGTAGAGTGGCGCGCGGACTTGGCGCGTCAAACTGGCCCTCGCAATAGATGTATAGTAGATAATACCGACCTGTCATAGAGAAATAAAATGAGCTTGAGAGCAATAGAGGGAATAGAAAGAAAAGAAACATGAGTCTATTAAAAAAATAAAAAAGACATCGCGGGCTAATGGATGGAACGCAACGCCATGGAGGGATCCATCCATTAGCACGTTTGGTCTTTACCCATGGCGGGAATTGAACCCACGACCTCACGATAAATCGCAAGGTTTTGCCAAGTAGACTACAAGGGCTTATTCTACACACATCGGACTCAGACTATACCCAGTAATCGATCCGCGCAGGCAATCAAACTCAAATCCACTGATCTCACTCAGATCTGCAATCAAATTGTTTGCATCATCCCGAACCGACGTCACATTACCCGCGCCTCGGCGTAGACGTTCTCGCACATAGGACCGAGCAAAGCAGTCATTTTATTCCAGTCATGCAAGGATAACAGATGTACATGAAGACGAGCGACGAAGCAAAATATAAACAGAACGAAAACACCGGAAAGCAGCCACAAACGAACAAACGAGCAAAAAAAAGAGCAGCAACATCACAGCGAGAACGAACACGGAGATCGCGAACGCGTCCAAAGAGAAAAGAAACTAAACCGACAGCCATGAGAGGGGGGAAGAGGATACCTGCGTGGAGGGGTAAAGCTGTAAGCAGAGATAGAGCGGAAGAAAAAAACAACGTACCTGCTCGCCACTCATTACATGGGTAAATCGAGGTTACCGGTAAACGAGCAGAGGTTGCACGGCAACAAGAGCTCCAGGTCTCGACGTTCTTCTTCGGAGAGAAGATCGAGCGGTCGTAGGCGGTCGAGCCTCTCTCGATACATGTCCCGGCGAATCCGGTAAAAGGCTGTGAGACGGTCTTCACACACCCATGGTCAGTAGCGACAAAGAGTAGTACAATAGGAACTTACTGACTGATGATATAATGACCGACGTGGACGGGGCAGGGGCTGGAGCGCGCACGATAAAGAAAGTAGCCAGGATGGGGGTTGGGGTTGGGAGTCGGCGGGCAACGGCTCAGAGGCTCGCCATCAGGATCGAGAGCTGGTGTGTACAAAGTTGGATGAGACGCTATGCGAATGAATGTATGCAGGATCTTTCACTTACAGTCCAAGAAACTCACTGGCCTCCATTCGGCGACATTCATGTTTCGCATACCATTTCGCGGGGGATCGAACGTAATGTGAATGCCGGGACGGGATTGCGTAGTCAGCCTATTGATCGTATTGAAGGGATTAATGGTGGGCCCCTGGGACGGATTCGTACGAGAATATGGAAGATGGTTCAGGTGCAGCGGGGACGGAGAACGCGGTGGCGCAAGGGTCGCAGAAGGGAGCGGAGTGAGCGGAGATGGTGGCCTGCTCAGGTCCAGTGACGTGGAGGAGAGGAGGGCGAGTGGAGAGGGCGAACGGTACGGCTTGAGCGGCGGAGAAGGGAGAGGGGTGAGCGGAGAGGGCGAACGGTACGGTAACGTCGCCCTGAACGTGTTAATCACTGCGTGTGGACGGTCTGGCAGGTCGTCGTCAGGCTCGGGGCTGGACGGTATCGAGGCGTCGTAGGAGCCGTCGTAGTCGCTCTCGGAGTCGACGAGGGTGGTTTCCTCTGACCTTGAGGGGGAAGAGAGATCCATAGAGGCGCTCTACGGAGCGGAATTTCGCATTCGGAAGGCCAGGAACCTCATCTATGGGCGAGCTTCTATTTGGTTTTGTTTGGGACTTATTAACCGAGGCCCAACAGTGTCACGTACATGTACGCGGAAGCCTTGCGGTGGCATGTACGTGTACGCGAAGACCCGCGGGTGGAACGAACGCGTACGCGAAGACCCGCGGGTGGAACGAACGCGTACGCAAAAACATTAGTGTATGAGAATGTACGTGGACAAAGCGGGGTACGGGACGTATGGAAAGAGAAAATAAGACCAAACAGAGCAACGGGGAAAAAAACGCATAGGACGCGACGAGGGGCGCAGGCGCCAAGGTGACGGGTGGTGAAGCAAGCAACACTCACTACTTGGTACTGAATGAAGGAATCAGTGCAATGCAAACTAGAAGTAAAGAAATAACCCACCGTTTGCGCAAACGGCGGTCACTTGACTCGCCACCCTCGCCTTCTGTCTGGGCGATCTTACGCTTGAGCGTGGGTACACTCAAACCCTCCTGCGAAACGGCCACCTTCCGACTAGAAGGGTTCCCTCGCTCACTGGACTCAGCACTATCGGCGCCGCGCGCGTTCTTTGACCGTGTTGAGATCGGGGAGTCTGAAGCGGTGGAGCCGTCTTCGAGAAGAGCCTTCGGGGCGGTCTCGAGTAAACGCCACAGAACATACCGCACATCGTAGACAGCAGTCTTCCAGTCGCTACCCTCACGCTCATCTGCCGAGGGAAAATAGAGCCCCCACCAGCACAACGCCACCATGATACTCCACAATCCGTTGACCCCGGAGTACCTGGCCTTCTCCCAGTCTACCTGCGCGCTGTCGTTCTGCACGGGCCACCCGTCCTCATTCCTTGTACGTCCCGGGGGCTGCGCGTTCCACCACCAAGAGCAGAACTGAGTCTCGAAGGCGGAGATATTGTTGATCTCCTTGAAGGCGATGCCCTGACTGACAGGACGGGCGGATTGTATCCAGTCGGATATCATATGCGGGCGAGTACCCTTCGGAAGGAACTTGATGGCGAAGAACTATCCAGTGGAGGAGATGCGAAGGGATATTATGGTCAGTGACGACGGTAAGTGGATCAGGTAATGCGAACATACCTCGAATTCCATCAACTCCTCATGCTCATAGAACGCATCAACCACCCCATCCCACAGCGGTCCTAGTTTAGCCTCCCTCAGATGCTTGAAGCCCTTCTGTAGCCACCCTCGGTCCTGAGGGTTCGCAACTGTCGAGAAGTCGAATATAGGCCTGGCTTTGCGGGGCGACTCTGCATCGGACGCGTCGGGAGCAATGGGCTCGTAGCTGGTAGTAACGGCAGATTGTCGAGCGGAAGGGAGAGGGGTGCTGAGATATGGCTCGAATTCCACTGGATTCTGGACGGTCGATACAACAGCGGTGTCAATGGCCGCGGGCGGAAGTGAATCGACAGTTGTGGGGGTGGAGGCATCGTTGTCGGAGACATGTGCGCTGAACGGAGTCGTCGAGGAAGCAATACGTGATACAGAGGGTGACGCAGGGCGTGTGTCGAATGCCTGCTTATTGGTGTGATCAGTTAGACAGCAAGGATGAAGATACAAACCTGACGAAGTAAGGGAGAAATCGACTTACCTCAGCCTCGTCTACGGCTCGCTGTGGAGCAACGGGATCCCCTTCATGAGCTATGAGAGAAGGAGAAGGCAAACGGGGAGGTACTGGAGGGTCTGGTTCCGGTTCATAAGATGGAAGGATTGCCTTGGGGTCGAGGGCGAGGACACCTGGTTGAGGAGACGAAGGCAAACGACAAGGGACCTCGACGGCGAAATCAGTTTCAGATGTACGAGCAAGCACAGGGAATCCCGGAGTAGATGTCTCGCTAGGTGCAGGAGCTGCGTCGATGTCAGATGCTAGAGCAGGGGCAGGATTAGGGGCGGGAGGACCAGGAAATGGAGGAGTTAGAGGTGGAACTGGAGTGGTGGACGCGTCGACGATCAACGCTGTGGCAGTGGCGGATCTAGCGGGCCGGTCCGAAGGGAGGTCTTCTTCCCCGATTGAGTACGCGTTCCGATCCGGTTGCTGCACCGCATTGTCCTCCGCCATGTTCAAATCGACATCCTCGTTCTTGTTCCCATTCTGCGCTGCTGTGACCGTGTCATCTAATCGCTCCATCTGGAAATTTGCACGGCCAAAAGACTCTTGTTGCCCTTGAACTCTTTCGTCCATTTCCTCGGCACCTTGTTTAATGGTCAGTTTCACTCGAGGTTGCCTTGAACTCGAACGTACCAAAACATCGAGCGGCGAACGACGCAAACGAATCTCTCGCCGTCGCATGGCCCATCCGGTCGAATTTATCCCAGTTCTTCGGCAGGAACTCCTTGGTTTCACCAGCATGGACGCTGAAGACAACGTTAGCGCGCTCTATGGACAGTTACACAGTCGTGCGTACCTCTGTGTCTCGATCTCGCCCTTCTCGTGTGGCGCAGCCATGAAAATCGTTACCACGGATCCATAGCGTAGGGATAGCACGTCTGCGATAGGTTTCAGAAGCTGATAGGACTCCTGAAGGTTCCTACACGATCATATGTTAAGTTAATATTCGTGTGTAGCAGCTATCATCCGCATTCACCATTCACGCCTCTTCCCCTCCCTTGGCGCTATTTCGAATCTCTCCTCATACCCTCTCGTCAACTCCTCGTGCTCCTTATCTACCGCCGCCTGCATCTCCTTCTTAAACCCCTCGGTCTCCGTCTCTAACAGCCTCCGTGCTACCTCCATGCGATTATTCACCCTGGCCTGAGGCTCCTCCCGACCAGCCGCCACTGTTGCCGCACAAGTCACCGCCCATTCTTTGTCGAAGGTGGCCTTGATCCGCTCCTCCCAATACTCGCGCGCGTAATATTGGACCAGTTGAGCCCTTCGTGGCTGCTCGAGGAACAGCTCGAGTAGCGCTTTGAAGTTGCAGGCGATGGAGGTGTTCGTAATTACTGTACCGGACGTCGAATCTGTCAGGCTTAACTTATGGCCTTGATACCAGAACCAGGCGATGATATGCTGTGGCCCGAAGTATCAGTGTGGCACCCAGATATGGACAGAAAGGTACGTACATCGCGCACTGCCTTGAAGATCTGAGGCGTATAATCACTCCCAGGGCCGGTATAATACTCGTCATGAAGGTAGAGCCTGCCCTCGATGGTGACGGGTTCTTCATCCAGACCTGGCGCGTCATCGGAACATGTCGTGATGGCGTTGGTACCGGAGGGTGCGGGTGTAGATGAAGACGAGGCAGGAGGAGTGGGCCCAGTCATAGGTGTCTCGGAAGGACCCTGTGGGTTTGGCGGTACGTCGTTCGTTAAGCCGGGCACGTCGTCGGGAGTGGAATCAGCAGTGGATGTAAGAGGACGCTGATCGGTCGTATTCTGCGTGGTAGTATCTGATAAGGACAGGTCAAGGGTGGGGGGAGGAGGCGTAGGTCCGGCTTGCGGAGGTTCTGTAAGTTCGCGATCCACGGTGACTGCTAGTAAGTGCTTTGATCCGAACGCAGGTAAAAAAAAAACCCACTCACCAGACTTCGGCTGCAGTGCTATTCCCGCCTTCAGCAACTTATCAACGAGCAAACCCCATCCACAACTCGACATCGCCTTCTTCGTAACGTTGGTGAACCAAATACCGCGTTCTTTCTTCGGACGACCGGTGATCTCGTACTGATATTCCGGTACAAGCGGGAGGAGGAGGTCAAGTAGAGCACCCTTCACCCAGGGCTTGCGACCACGGCCGGTGTGCTCTTCATCGACGTCGTTGGGATGAACGGCCTGGGTCTTACTTTTTTTTCGAGCCATAACGATAGATGGTTCTCGAGAGGCGGTTCAACAACGTAGGATTTTGTTTGAATTATCATTCTAGATGAAACACCAGCCAGCAACCAATCTCCTGTGGATACGGACTCGTCATGTACAATAGACCTCTTTCAGCGTAATAGAGGCCACTTCGCCGTGGTAGACGTACATGCAATTGATTCTTCTGAACATCTCCGCACCTTTTTCAGGCAGTTACCAAATATAGCACACCGGCTATTTAGACGAAAGAAGACATCAAACGTAAATGATATATTGGCAGTAACAAACACCAGAGGGCTATGCATCAGGCAGAAAAGAACCGATCCAACAAGCTCATGCAACCGCGAGCAGACCGTAGGGACAAAGCGTACAAAGACAAGCAATACGAAAAGATACACAAAAACAGACAAAAGATATCAAAACATGAAGAAAGCAATATGAAAGCACGCGTCCATCCGGAACAATGTAAGGTACGCGAGGTTGCTTAACACTACTCGGTCGCAATCTTGACTTTGCCGATACGGCCCTCGGAATGGTAATGTGCCAACGCTTCGACACGCGTAGGGAATCCTCTCTGCGCTCCACCCGATATCCCTTCCACTTGCGCAGAGGTCTCCGGCCTTTCGAGCAGAGAGAAAATGAGAAAAATGCTTTTGAGAACAAAACAAGAGGAACACACCATGTATAATAAAGTCCTGGGCGACGACCAATGCACACAGCGTAGCAATAATGCTTGTTCTTCTTCGACACGCGGATCTTCCTGGGAACCGTCGGAAGTGGGCCCTCAAACGGAGCCGGATAGGTTATGCCTACTCCGGATGTGGCCTGGACGGTGATCGATTGCGAAGAAGACGGGGATGACGTGGCACGAGTGGGCGACGGGACGGAGCTTTGGGTGGCTGCAAGTACGGCGGAAGTGCCGGCGGATATCGTCGGCACGGGGCGAGCATGAGGCAGAGACGGTTTCGAGTGGGAATGGGCGTGTGGGATGTGCGGGGATGGAGCAGTCGAAGACCGGACAGAAGGATCCGGGCTGTTGTCCTCGTAAAGAGAAGCATGGCTGGCTGTAGCGAAGCTGTGGGAACGAGGAAGGGCAGAGGGGGCACGAGCGGGAAGCGGGGTGGTGGGCGCCGAGTAGTCCGGGAAATCGTTAGCGTTGTTCAATGCTGATTGGGTGGGGCTGTAGTCGTAGCCTAGCGCAAGCTCGCCGGTCTTGGAAGCAGCCGAAGTGGCGCTGAGAGCGCTGAGGGCGTCCGAGAACGTCTCGTAATACGCTCTATCAATGCCGTCGATAGCAGCAGCTGCGCTCCGCCTGAACGTACATTAGTGATATAAACGAGCCATCAAGCGCGTGATACTCAACTCGTCGGAATAATACCCATTCTTGCGAGCACCGAACACGACGAAGTGTCCAGCAGTGGGATTGAGAATCGAGGCTGCGAAAGTGAGCATGAGACAAGAATAAGGAAGAAAAATACAATGGAACTTACGACCGCGGTTGTCTGCTCGTCTACGTACAAATCGAGGGGAACGAAGCTGAGCGTCGGACCGGGGGGAGACATTCAGATTGCGGTCGAGCTCATCGGCGAGTTCATCGGCGGGACTGCGAAAGTCCATGTCAGATGGAACAGGCGGTAGTAGAGGAACAAATGGTGGTAGAGGGACGGAGCAAGGAAGAGGAAGGACGCGAGGAAGAGGAAGGACACGAACGGTGCGATATGGACGAGGAACCGGCACGTGGTAAACACATGCTGCCGGAGAAAAAGCGGGCCGGCCACGGTTCGCTGACAGAGCTGGCTGGCTGTCGTCGTGACGAGTGAGGGAGCCTGTTCAGCGGCACAGAGACAAGGGAAGAGAGGGAAGAAAAAAGACATAAATAAAATGAAGATGCACCAAAACGTCGTCGTGAACGATAGCAAGATACCCCATGCACCTGCTAAGCCCCACATTCGAAACACGGAGCCAGTGGCAGCGATGCGCTAGCAAAACTGCCACCATCGATGAAGATGGGGAGGGAGCTTGCATCAGAGAAAGACGGGTGAGAAGGAAAAAGGGAAACAGAGAGGGGCGCACCTAGACGACGGAAATGTATCCCATACCCCCGTGACGTGGCCTAACGACTCCCGTACCGAGCGATATGATGTTCGGAGGGGAAGGCCAATACCTGGGACGTAAGGGAGAGCATCGCAAATGAACGTGAGGCCGTAAATTGAGGCATGGTGAGCGTCGACGGCGGTAGTGACACGGATGTTGATGGCGGCGACGAGATCAGCGCATGGCGAGCGAGGTGAAAAGAGAGATCAACGCAAGGGATACGTTGAGAGGAGTAGAGGGGTAGGACGGACGAGAAAAGGGCCAGGGAAGGGAGCACGCGAGGCGAGGGCGGGGGGCGGCGCAGGAGCAGAAGCGGGGAGCGACGAGCAGGGAGCCGACGACGACGGGAAAGGGAGCGCCAGGGAGCGTGCGAAGAGAAGGAGGGCGATCCGGATCACGGCGGACGAATTGCCGACAGCGAGAGCGAGCCGCGTGACGCCGTGCTGGGTCGGGCGTCCCGGAAGACGTTCGGGCTGTTGAGGGCGGTAAGAAGCGCATGCTGGGCACTATAGGAAGCATGCCGAAGGCGCCGAAGGCTCCCAGCAACTGAGACGAAAGAAGTAAAACATAGTTGAAGTAGGTGCGAACAAGTTCGCCCGCCTTTGCCGTACAATAGCCCGGCATCCCGGCATCAGCCTGGCATTTCTTTTTTTTTTTTTTTAAATTCAAATGTATTTGTATAGCGCCGCCATGAAGGCGAGGGGCGCTTGTACGTACATAGGTAAATACATGCAGGAATGGGGTCTGAGACACCTCAGCAATCACCACACTGTAGAATCCGAACTCCTACATTCAGTCGTCGAGAGAAGTCTCGGAGCGTGGCTTGTGCTCCGAAGAAGAATTAAGCAAAATTGAGAGAAATAGAAAAAAAAAAAAGAAAAGACCCGTCCATCATAGCTCCATGTCATCGGCTCCCGCCGTCTCCCTCCCTCTCCCCTTCTTCCCCTTTCCCTTCTTTCCCCCTCGAGCGGGAACCCACATACTAGGATCTACTCCAGGCGGGGGGCGGAGCAGTGCAGTGTGCTCCCGGATCCATTCCGGGTCTCTGCGATGAGCATAGAAAGAGCAGTCCTTCGCATCTGCACGATGACGGCCCTGGCAGTTTATGCAGAAGGGTTCACATGGGCACGTACCCGTCGTGTTCCCAGCCCTCTCACCAGAGGGTGTACCTCAATTATAAAGGTACTTGGTAGTAAGGATGGAAGTCTTTACAAAGGTTGCTGCCCCTGTACAATTACAATTGGAGCACCTAGGGCGTTGGAAATCAGTTCAGCGGTGCACGTATCCGTCGATATCAATGGTGAACAGTACTTATATCGAGATGCCTGCTTGACTCTTCTAAGTCCCCACTCAACGCATCCGTATCCGCTCAAGACCTCTCCTCGACCACAGCATACCTGTCTTTCTAGCCATATCTCTTCTACTGCCCAGTGCTACATCACTGGCAGCAAGACTGCATCTGCCTAAACCTAACTTTTCAGTCTATTCTGGTCTAGGCACTCTTCTCGCTCTATACCCGTAGGGCGCTCTCGATGCTTCGTAGTTTGATAGACCGATATAGCGCGGATAGATGGTTGTCCGAGTCTTGAATGACATGTGAAGAAATCAAAATTCCGCGGCCTGTCAAAGGCTGTCAAGGCAAGACTCAGACGCCTGCCCTCAACAGCTCCCTGCGCTCGTTCGTTGTTGATTTCTCTCACGCATCAGGCTCTCTTGAAGTGTCCCCTCGGCGCTTCAATCCTTGCTTTCATCTTCTTCCTGCACCCCTCTTCCTCAAATCCCTTTTTTTCGTGCACTGATACTAGGCTCATCGACAGGGCACTCGCACACGACTGGAACTCGACACCAATGGATGGGACCCAGCAGAAACCTCACGGGTCAGGGTTGCAGAAAATCCCGTAGCAGAACATACCAGGCGAGTCGTGCCCAAGTCGTGCCCTCCTTTGCGACAACTCTGCGTTTGATCCGACTGACATGGCCATATCTATTTCAGCTTATACCCTGCTCTTACCCGCCCGGTGACCCCGCCAACTTTCAACGGTCATTGAGGGGCCGTTACGGCGTTAAGTCGCACAAGGTGAGAGGCTTCCCCGCATCAGTCCTATCCTATTTACTTCTTACACTGACGTCTTCGTTTGCGTTTCAAATAGACAGGTTGCTTGCTCGGCACTTGTCACCTGCTTTTTCGTGAGTCCCTTCTTTGATATCCGCAATGCTTATGTACGTGACTGATTTCTGTGCGCTGTTCCATCTAGATTCAAGTTTTGCAAGTCGACATATCGTAGATCCCGAGATCAAGGCCTTTCTTCACACATGGAGTCCCTTCGAGAGGTTTAGTTTGGTTCATGCAGTTCATACAGTAGTGTACATCCAGTTTGTTCGAGTAGTTATCATGTATCTTCTGCAATAAAATGAATTTTCTCACCCAAACCAAGCAGTCCGAGTGAAACCTATCGAGCTCCATGGCATGATCCACAGCAAAAACCTCGTGGTCTATCGTGCTCTACCGCCCTCTATCCTGCGTCTACCAGAATCCGAATACGTCTAGCTAAAGGCAGGTCTATGATGAATAGATCCTGTCAAATGATCTATTCGTGTCTCCCGGGAGACCGAATAGACCGAAATAGCTAGGTTTAGCCAGATGCGGCCTTGCTGATGCTAGTACTCGTACATCTCTTGTACATGGCCCCCAAGACTCACAGCCGAGCTCGAAAGCCCGTTGTTCAGATCCTTGATCCTCAACAGGACATAAAGAGGACTACTTCTTTGACAGCACAGACAGACCCATCGGGTCATCCCTCGCAGATCGAAGGCGACACGAGCCCTTCGCAAGCGGAATCCAAGTTTCTAGATCCCTCCGCATCATTCGGTGTGGATATTCCTGTGCATCCCATAAACTTTTTGGAAGGTCGTGAAACTTGCACAGTGCTTGATCTCATTTCTGTCCCTCTTCCATCCCCTATCCATGCCCATAAAAAGGACATTAGACGATCGACCCGGGGGGTCGCGAAGACAGACATCGAGATACCTGTAGGGGAGAAGCTGGAGCAGGTTGTCTTTGTTCCCAACCTTCCCGATCAGTTCCTTGCTCCCGGAATGGGGTTGATGAAGCGACTTAGGCTTGATCTTCGTGGTTCCAGTGATGATCGTCAGCTATCAGGCAAAATCTGTGCTGCGTCTACTCAGCGCGGCCTCGCGCCCATCTTGTATTCTGAGAAAGATGTGGAGACTTATCTCCGTCAGACAGTTGACATACCTGTATCACTCATAGCACAGCGTCTGCTCGATGAAGGGCTTGGGACATCTCTCGACGAAGGTGGAGAGCCTTTGAACGGCCATGAACGCAGCCTTCAACTGCCCTTTGTCTCAGCTGCTCCTTCCACATATGTTGATCCTCATGGTGTATCAAGGGCCATTGTCCTGGACGCGCTGCATGTGCTGAAGCTCGATTTTCACCCACATGACGTGAACAAGGAAGAAGGACGAACTTATCCTCTAGCGTACGTTCTTCGTGAGGACAAAACCCCGCATATCCTACCCGAGAACCCTGAATTGAGTCCATTGCATGAATTCTTCGTCACTCGCAAAGACGTCGACATGTTTGACAACGCTACGGATGACAATACACTGCCAGCATCGAGATTTGTGCCTCCCACGTCGAAATCCGCGGGAGATAGAATGTCGATTGGGTCGAAGATTGTGTGTCAGGTAAGCACGGGTGCTCCCTCCCAAAGGCCTGACTATTGATGAGACTGTAGTTATCCACACAGAACTGGGTGTACAATACGCCTTTCAGTATTTTGAGCTCCTATTATTCGACAATATTCTCGTATTATCACAAGGGCTGCCTCTACTTCTCCAGATCTTATCCAAAAGGGCCCGAAGCTTTCTGCACTCAAGTCTGCTGGTGCCTTGCTGCGTCAGGTCTTTTCAAAGACACATTTGGATCTGCTCCTCTTCTACCTAAGGTTGATGTGACATGGTGGACGCCGAGGATGAAGGCGTACCAGATAGCCGGGAACGTTCCACTGGCACGGTGTGTAGTCCACTCTCGTCATCATGTTTCGGGATGTTTTGACGTTCCTTGCCCCGTGGCAGCACCGACAAACTCATCGCTCGAAAGGAGGCGAAAGCGTTTAAGGTCAAGAAATTGAAGGAAGAAGATGAACATGTTCGACATGCGATAAAAGGCAGTACAGTTGGTGAAGAGATTGAGAAGACGAATGACGAGATAGCACAAGGGCGGGAGAGGTATGATAACACTACAAGGGTATTGCAGGAGGAGATGTACGGGTTAGAGAGACTAGAAAGCAAACTAGCGGCTCTGAAGGTAGAAGACACAATGAGCCGTATTCATAGTTTGAACTGGCAGTACTGCTCAGCTGAGTATAATGCAGTCAGTTTGAAAGCACCACAGCGGCCACTGGAAACTGAGAATCAAGGGGGTGGCAAGCGTAAAATTCTGTACCGGATCTTACCTTTCGCGTTTAAGGCCTCACCCCTCTCCCTCCCCCCCCTCGAATATTTAAATGATTTTAAAATGATTTATTTAATACTTTTCACACAACATAAAAGATCAAAACGGAGGGTTATTGTGGTATTAACTCATTGCTTTGATGAATGTTGGTGTAACCTAGCCTAAGGCTAGGGGAGGGGATGACCGACGTCGACCGTAGCTTAACCTAGCCTAGGCTAGGGGAGGGGATGACCGACGTCGACCGTAGCTTAACCTAGCCTAAAAGTATTCATTATTATCCTTTTTACACTCAAAACATCTTCTATTCACAGTTCTACCAGCACTGTGTACAAGAGTAATCATATATGAGCCCCACGAACCCTCCAAATGGCTGCCGTAGGACCTCCCGTAATGTCCGGACAGTTCGCGTTTAAGGGCCCTCCGGGCCCCCTCCCCCCCCTACATCCGGTTTTTTATTTTATTCCTGCCACCCCCTTGCTGAGAATGATGTATTTATATCTACTCCATTAGAATTCGGGAGACCTCTTCTGCATCTGCCGCATCTACCGCATCTTCAGCCTTGGCTGTCACTTCCGCCTGTAAGGCTCCGTAATCACTCGGAGTCACCGATCGTTCTCACATCAGCAAGACCGCATTACTGTGGCGGACTAGGAAGCTGGACAGACATAGAAGCTGGACAAAGATTTTTAAGATTTTATGCACTCATCTTCATGCCATGGTTCCTCTATGTGACATATAGATCTACATATTCTCCTATGGTATGCAAACGTGCTTCGTGTTATGTTTGTGAATATTTTGCAGGAGACGGTGGAATGTTGTTGGATTCGGTGTTTGTGGCACAATTTTGCCACATGCAGGCAGCCCGTCTAACGTGGACACCTCGACCAGCCTTTACTATCAAACTATTTGCTCGCAAAGATGTATGTAGGGCATAAACATGAGTACATTCTAAGTAATCCCAACTTATTCTGGTGGATAATGAACGCCTACATTTGCGTTTGTCATCTTTTTTTGGGGGGACCCCATGGCCGAAATGCCACAAGAGGCCCCCGCTCGGTGAGGCTCTAGCTCAAGCATCATTCACATTCCTCATAAAATAAGTGGATAGATCTTTGGCCTTAGATAAACACTTCATTTCCAATGGTATGCATACTTTTATCAGACCGTTTGCTTTCTGGAGAGCACAATTTTACCGAAGTGACCTGTTTTACACCTGTCCAACAACCTAGTTGAGGGCGAGCGAAATTTCTAGGCGACACTCACGAAGTAAACAAGAAGCTCGTTAGCCGACCGGCAACATACCAACATCAGTCTTACGCGAACTTACTTCATACAGCAACGCGACACCAAAAGCGGCTCTATACGCAGAACTGCATCACCAATCCGAAGATATCGGAAGCGAGTGGGCAGAGAGCCTACGGGAATTCACAGTACCACAGTGCCAGAAATAGTTTTACAACCGAACTCAATTTTCCTATGTTACTCAGGATAAGACATCGCGCCACATGCTAGGGAATTTCGTCTCTATGACCTCTATTCCAGTCCCAATCAAAACAATCACCAACACCAACAAACGATGAGCATCTTAGCGTACATCTCAGGTCAAAATAAAGGTCAGGACACTCACGGAATAATTCGCTCCGCTCAACCTCACCACCTTCACCTTCACCTTCCTCATCCCGCCTCCCTCATACTTCTCTGAAACACCCACATCCCCCAAGGAATATGTCATGTCGACTGATCGCACCATACATATCGGATCCCGACACCTCTCCACCCTCCACTCCGTATCGACGCCCCATTTGGATTGAGCCTATCGTCTCCACCGTTGAGGAAAAACACCCGTTCCCTCAGACGTGCATACAGTCCATCTTTCTCTCCAGCCAGAACTGAGGTTTCTGCCGGTTCGAGGTCTGGGATGTAGTAAGTGATGGAGTAAAGTTCTTCCGCTCGATGCATGTATCGTTGTCGATGTAGGCGCGAATGTTTGCTCGGAGGTAGACGTCGAGAGCGGTCGTGTGGCGAGGTGGTTTTAGGTTGGGTTCGGGGAGAGCTCGAACGATGAAGATGTGGGGTTCGACCCAGGATTAACGACGAGTTGTCGTGGATCGCTTGTAGGGGTTTCAATCGTAGACTTGTGTTTGTGGTAATGTTTGCGTTTCCGTTCGCGCGAGGACATAGAATGCCATCTGTTGTAGTTGCTGTAGAGGGCGATATGCTGCTAGACGCAGAGTTGAACGCCGATCGAGGCTCTGCGTGTGGGGGAAGTGGGATTACTGAATGAAAAAGGGGACGGATGTCAACGAACTGGTCCTGTGTATGCGTGCTAAACTTACCACCACGAAGTCCTTCCGCCATCGTCTCCGTCTGACATTCCCGTTTCCCACATCCTCTACATCCCTGTCCAAATCCAGCTCGTTCACCTGCAACTCTCCAGTTGACCCAAAGTCCACCACTTCATCTTCCTCCGACGCCGACGTCAAATCTTTCTGCACGACTCGATTGGCATCCGCACCTAAATTCGCACCAGCGGTATATTCGTCTATAAGGTCGCCTTCCTCCACCTCTACTTGAATACTCGTAGGTCCATCATCATCTCCATAGGAATCTATACCAGGAATAATCTCCCCACTCAACAGCTTATCTCCGCGCTCGTGCTCGTGCTTGTGCTCGTGTCCGCGTTCATTCTCTTCTTCGAGTACTTCGCCCTCTTCCACCAGCATCTCAATACGCTCCACACGACGGAAGACAAGCTTATTCCCCGCTTCATCCTCGATCACACTTCCTTCGGCGGATCCACGCCCTTCTTCCCTCTCTACTTCCTCCCTTTCTTCGACGAATCCATCCACTTCGACTTCGCCTTCTTCCACAGCCTCCACTTCGACTCGAGCTCGAGCCCAGGCTCTGATTCTGAGTCGTTTCTCTATCATCTCTCCTTCTACCCCGTGTTCGTCGTCCTGATACACGAGGCCTGACTCCTGCGTTATATCGTCCACATCCACATCCACATCCTCGTCGTCTTCGCCCTCTCCTCGTTCCTCCACCTCCCTGCGCCCGACAAACCCATCCCCATTTTTATCATATTCGCACTCCCGAGTATCCCCATCCGTATCCACATCTTGCATCTCCGTGCCCGCTCCTCCGACGCTCGTCGACATTCCCAGTATGCTGCTGTTATTGTTCCTGAACACGAGGAAAGCGCCCCACGGCCGACGCAGAGTTTAAGTCCGGCGAGAGGAGATGCAGCGAATTGGCGAATTCTTGTATGAGGTTGAGGTTGTGGTTGAAGAGAGATAAGAACAGAAGTGGGGGGCAGGTGAAGTTGCGTGCGAGGGTGAGAGAGTGTTTGAGCGATCGAGTGGTGGGGAAGGAGGAGCGGGTTATTTTGTCGATGACTGAGGTTGAGATTGTGGGTAGATGAGGGATAATCTCGATGAGCGACGTGAAATGGAGGCACCAAGGGTTCGACGACGTTGACCGGCCGAGCAGAAATGAAAAGGCGCATGGAGAGGGAGGAAAATAATCCGGGACGAAAGGGGAGAAAGACTTACCACCAAGGTACCGCGCCACGAGCCCGTTAATCTGCCCAGCACATACGCCGATGCCCCACCCTTCGGACCATGACCATAGTCGGAAGAGGGATGGAGAGAGGACAAGTCTTTAGGATCGGCTGCGGAGGGGGAGGTAAGGCGGGCCCAGTCTGCGACTTGTCGCTCGCTTTTGCTAGCGCCGTCCCCATGAACGTCGAAGGGAAACATAGGGACGCGAGCCGCTTCTTGGTGAGGATGAGACAAAGGCGAGGACGGTCGTATGTCCCACTTAGGATGCTGTAAGCACTGCGTCTTCATCGCTTCGTTATGCTCCACGATATCTTCGGATGCCGGCTCATTGAAACCCGAAGCGAGAGCATCAGGTTGTGTATTGAGTGCGTATTGGGGTACGCTGAGAGGGTTGCAGTCGGCGCGGACAACGTATGATAGAATGGCCGGGAGGCATATAGGGGGGAGCGTGAGGGTAACGGTTCGGGAAAAATGTGGAAGCGTGATGGTTCATGGACGTTGGAAAGGAGTGGATGATGAGTGGGAAGATGTGGCTAGATGAATGGGATACTAGAGGGTCAAAGATCAAGAACACGAACGTGCTAAATGTCAGTGTGGCGTGTGGCGTACCAGAGACCCGTGGGAGGAGCAAGTTTTGGATATGATCACGACGACCCTTGGCCTCGGTAGAGATCATACCTTAAAGATGAGCCTGTTAGCATCGCATCGACTCGAAACCGCCAATGCCAGGTACAGAGACGACGCCACACACGCACGGCAGAAGCTGAGGATGGATGTCAAAGCGTGAGTTCGAGAGAGATAAAATGAAGCCGGGGTAATAAATGAAGCCGGGCCCGACGGTAGAGGACGTATGCAAGACTTCAGCACCACGTTGACGTTCAACTACAATATCGTCTAACTCCACTCCCGACAAGCTCTCCGCGTGCAAAGGCTGAGGAGGAGGCGTCGCCGGAGACAAAGAATCTGAATGTGCTTAAGTGCGGTGTAACGCAAATATGAGACCAAGAGCAAAGCGCAAGATCGAACGCGTGGCTCTTCGGCAATGCCCGCAAACTTGAGTTGCGGGATCATGCCGAGGGCTGCTTCGCCAAACCGCTCTCCCCAGCGCTCCCCAACTCCCATCCCCATACGCACATCCTTCTCCCCTTGACAATATTCCTCTTTACGACTCACAGCGTTGCGCAACCTCACGAAGAAGAATGCGTTCCATCAACATCAAGTCCTTGTCGTCTTCATCAACAGCCTCTCCTTCTACCTCGTTGGCTACAAAACAACACAATCCGTTGCGACATCGCGCTTCAAAGTTATTCAATGAGCTTATTCTGTTAAATTCAGGAAGGGTACCTAGGTCTGTATGTTCTCTTTATCTGTCAGTTTTGGCTAGCAGTGTTTGCGAAAGAGGGTCTTGTCGTCTTGCTTGAGAGGTTGGGCGTCAGAGCGTCGAGTTTTGGGCCTCGGAATCGTGAAGAAATGGCAGGAGATGTCTATGATTCCACTGTCGCGTGCGTGAACGACGTTGAGGTTATACTGGCTCTACAGCTTGACTGCTACCTGTCATGCGAGGTATGGCCATTCTCCTCGGGTCGGGGCTACCTTCTCCCTCGCTACCTACAGCAACGCGCTCAGTAGTATCATGACCGTCATTACGAGTGGAGGTAGCAGGTGGAGCTGTTCGGTGTGCAGTCATCCTCGTCCTCACGGCGACCGATATCGCCACTCAAACCTCGCTCGTTGATCGCGTCCCAAATTTGGTATCAAGGACGTCTTACGACCATCGGACAGTCTGTCAAAGCCTGACATGACATTGCTCTCGACATGTATCACACGCAGAGACTGCGATATTCACATTTCGCTCTTTACTGCACGTCGTCCGAGTGGCTCTTTCGCCGGAAAGGGCGGATTACTATGGCTATTTTTCGCTCCTTCCCGCTAGTCGCACGGGCTCTTCTTCACGTCGCTCTTCCCTGCGCGCCGGTTTTTGCGTTTCTTCAACCCGCTCCCCACGCTCACAGCATCGTCATTCACATGACTCTGAGTTAAACTATCAGGCTAGCCCTGTCGTTTTTGGCCCGAGGCCTTTACACACTGGGTCGCTGTGGGCCTGGTGTTCATCAGGCCGGAGTCGACTGGAGCATGCTCCATCGAGTTCCGGGTAACGTACAACTCCCTTCGGAACTCGTTCAACGAGCACAAAGACACATTTTCCTTTCGGCGCACGCGGCGTTTGTGGGATATGACGATCCACGATTCCCGTCAACTTTGTCTCTGTTCGGTCTAACACGGCAACGGAGCAGCGTTATGGGTGCGACCGGTGCACCATGCCGCGTCTTGACCCCAACATAGTTCCCATATGCGTTCTACTTTTGCTTTTGTATCCTGCTCTCGTCCCGTTGTCCCGCTTACTGACGCGTTGCACTTTTATTAGACATAAAACATCACGCAAAGGTTTCGTTAACCCAAGAGCACTCGACCACTGCAGACTCCCACCCGAATTATGGATCCAAATCATCCGCGAAGCAACCTTCATGACCCCCGACCCGCTCAGTACAGCCGAAGACCTCTCCTTTCTCGAATCGTCTTCCCTCCAGCTCTCGTCATACTACGCCGCCATGCGCTTCAAGACGAACGTCTCACTGGTATCGAAGCGCTGGAACGCCTTCGTCAAGGTCTTCCTCTTCGAGTTCGTATGGATCTCCCGCGCCCAGCAGGCCAAGGCGCTCGCGCACACACTCCTCATGGAGTTCGTTGAGGGACGGTCCGCGGCTTCGGGGAGGTTCATAAGGCGGTTACACATCGATACACCCGTACTCGAGCGCTGCTCGCCACAGGACCTCCACACCATCCTAGAATATTCGCCACAACTCACGATCTACACCGACAACCAGTCTATCCAGCGAAATCGATGTGACGCCCTTCCCGACCCGCGGTGTTCACCGGAAAAGCTCCTTTCACTCCTTACTCATCCTAACTCCGAGCTGCGCCGTCTTTCGTGGACGTCTTACGACGATGTTCCCTTCCATCTCCGCATGTCGCCGCTGCAGAGTATGCCCACCATGCGACTCGAATATCTCGAACTCTCATCATGCTCCCCCAATTTCCACGCACTCTTCTCCGATTCGCTGGAGTCAACATCGCCGTCTGCAGCCATGAGCGTCCATCTTCCCGCGCTCCGAAGCCTCAAAGTCAGCCTCGATAACGGGATGTTCGCCGTCCTCGCCTCATGGTCCATGCCACACTTACGCAACCTCTCCGTCGTCTCCGCCGACTTCAGCTACACCGGCGCAGGCTTTTATCGGTTCTTTGCCGCCCATGGGAAATTCCTCCGCCAACTCGAATTAGGCCATTCTTCCTCGCTCATCGAGGAGCACTACCTCACCGCGCCACACTACCCCCGCCATACCACGGAGAACAGGTCGCTCTCGTTGGCGAGGTGGTGTCCCAATCTGCGCGAGTTGATCTGTTCGGCGGACGCGGAGTGGCACTGGGAGAGTCCGGACTGGATCGCACCGCATGTGTTGCTGCCTTCTCATCCACGACTCGAGATGATCGCCATCCGTGATATCGACGCACGTATCATCTCAGCGCTTGACATGACATCCAACGCGCCCTCAACGGACGATACCGCCTTTTTTCCCCTCCTGCAGCAAATGTCCTCGATCCTCGGTCCCGAAGCATTCCCTAGCCTCAAGTACCTGAGGGATCTGAGCGTGGAGAGCAATTCGATGAGGAGGCAGAGACCGGAGAGGGCGGTGGTGCAATTCTGGGCGAAGGTGCTGGGACGATGTAGGAAGAGGGGTGTCTGGTTAGAGGATGTGGAAGGATTTAACGTGACGATGGGGACTTTGAAGAGGGCTAGGAAGGTTTTGGATGTGAGGGAGGCGGTGGAGGAGGCGAGGTCGAGGGGATGAGTGAGTGTTTGCGGACCTTGTTCTTTTTTTTTGTCTGCCCTTGGTCGGATTTCTTGTGGCCCATTTCATCTTCTTTCTTCTCGATTTCTTGATCTCGAGCTTGTTTTATGGATGCTCTCGTTCCTATCCCGCAACCCAACCCCGTGTGTCCTCAGCGAATCCATTGTGTCCATCCATCGCGTCTATCCCTCCATCATGAACTTGTGCATTTATATCTTTGTCCGTCCCCCTCCGTCTGTCACCCCCTGGATCGTTTCCCTTCGTCTCGTAACCCTTGTATCCTTGGGGACAATTATTTCAGAGATAGTACTACCGTCGTTACCCCTGATAGCAGTGCTCAATGGCAGAACCGTGTCTTTGCGCGCGTTAGTCCGTTGCAGGCAAAGGTCAGCATTCACGAGTCTATACGCAGATAAAATGATCAACATACATCCTAAGGAGCTGGTTCACCGGAGCATAAGTGGAATACGAGAGGTACTTAAGTCTTGAGAAGAATGACCGCTGCGATAGACGGTTAGGCTTACACTGGAAGTGTCTCTCTGCAAACTGCCTCTAAATATGGTAGCTCATTGAGACTGTCGTAATCCAGATCGCCTCCAGCATCCTTTTGAGCATCGGCGAGATTTCCCCCCCTTCGTTCTATTTTCACGATCCCGTCGAAACATCGTGGAGATACTTAGTCACGATACAGAAAAAACAAACGATAGCAATTGATTGTACATGATAACAGGCCAGAAGACGTGTATGAGCCTACAACGACAGCAATACTGCAAGAAAAAGAGGGCAGAAGACGACAGGAATACTCCAAGAAAAACAGCCACAGGCTCCCGCGAACCCTTCTGCCTTTCAAACGATATGCCGGTTAAGTTTTCTTCACTGAACGATCCCGAGACTTGTCGTAGGCCTACTGACTGGATTCGGGTCTAAGTATGTTAAATGCGAGCCACAAAATGAGGAGCACACACTCACAGTTCACCTGTATGCAACTTTGTCAAGAGGTTTGCCAACCTATCAAACCCCTGCTCCACTGAGGCCTGCAAGCCCTTCATCGATGCTTGCACACCCACCAAAGTGTCCTTCAGTTCAGCCTCCCTCTCCACCTGCCTAGCCTCCCTCTCCGTATCTCTAACCTCCTTCAACGCATCTCTCTCCACCTGCCTAGCCTCCCTCTCCGTATCTCTAACCTCCTTCAACGCATCTCTCTCCACCTGCCTAGCCTCCCTCTCCTTATCTCTAATATCCTTCAACGCATCTCTCTGCTCGTGCTGCGTGAATTGTTCTTTCATCAAGCTCATCAATTGATGTATCGGATCGTCTAGCAAGCCATGAGTTCAAAACCCGCTTCAGTCGCACAAAGAAATAAACAGACCATGAAGCCCACTGGTAGAAGGCCCATAGAGGGCACGATCGCTAGATGTCGTCGATGGCGCAGTTGCACCGGAAGGCAGGGGCACAGACGGCGGTGCGGGGGGAGGGGGGCCAGACATTGGTTGATTGAGCTGGTGAGGTGGAGGATGGTACGGAGCAAAGCCCGGCACAGAGTTGGACACAGTCGTTGCAGCCGTTTGATCAGCACCGCTGGCGCTGCTATGGGACATGGTTGAGGCTGGCTGCAAGCTGGCTGACGCAGCGCATCGATTGCCGCTCGATGAGTCCGATGGGGCGCTGACGGCCACGTGGACCTGGCGCGTTCCGGTCCTATCCGGGGCACAAACCTGTTCCTGCGACCATGACATCTTTTTTTCATTGTACCGCTGCTGGAAAGGTGCAGAGCGCGAAGTATCGAAGTCAAATGTGTGCTGAAGTGTACCGCTTTCTCTCTTTTTCATTAGCTTTAGGTAGGCGAGTTTCAGTCTGAGGCATCCTCCCTCTTGAATGGCATGTTCGCGATCACTCATTCCATGCCCGATCTTGGACGTTGCGGTCTCAAAATAACAGCGGGAACGTGCCCAGTCAGCACCAATCAAGATAGAATAAAAACATTCCGCACAACGTTCATAACGAGGCTAAACCCGTCGGTGGGTTTCGCTTCCAATAGTCTATTCAAGTAAGTCCATTCGCACTCGTTCAATATCCGCTCGATTTCTAATGTTACTATGGGCTGAAATTGACGGGACGGGTAAGGATCATCCACCCCGATAAGGCTTTGATTGGAAGAGGCCCACCCATCGTCCGTCGAGAACAAGGACGATAACCTTGTAGGTTTTCGCCTCCTATATACCCCTCTCGAAGATCTGTTCGCGTTTGCTCAATTGTTTCTCGATTTTCAATGTAGCGGGCTGAATTTTCCTGCAAGGGGTAGCTCGACCATCCTAAATAAAGGTTTGACAGCACACCGCCCACTGATCCTCGAAAACGAGGCAAAACGTGTTGGTGGGTTTTCGTTCCTAGCACCCCTTCTTGAAAATATGTTCGCATTTGCTCAATTAGGGGTCCATCTTCAATGCGGCAGCGGGCTCGAAATGACGGGACGAGGTGGGTGCATTAGCCCCGATAAAGGGTTGGAAGGAAGCAGACCACTCAACGGTGAGAACGAAGTGAACTACCTCGGTGAGTTTTCGCCCACAAGACCCTGTTCCGAAGATGTGTTCGCGTTTGCTCAAATATCCTTCGATTTCCAGTGTCGCGGCCTCAAGGGAACGGCACAGGTATATACTATCACTCACAATGAAGATTTGGAGAGAAACGACCCACGCATCGTCTAGAATGCGCACAAACAGCGAGGTAAATTTCACTCTCACCCCCTCCCCAAAGTTCGGTTCGTTCTCGCTCATTTGCAGTTCGTTCCCCAAGTAAGTAGCCCGACATGACGGCCTACACATGGGCTGTCTATTGCCGTCCGTGGTCTTACGCACCAACGCTGCAGATGGACGTGATCGATGCGAACCTCCGAGGTGAGCCATGGCCCCGAAATGCTCCTCTTCGAATTTTCGGTCGCACTTGCTCATTTGCGGCTCGACCCGGCTTCATATAGGCTCAAAATGTTGGGAACAGCTGACATTCTTGAGATTGTTGGGATTGAGATTCTCCTTCTCATCAGAGAAGAAGAGAGCGATGTCGGCAACAACACCGATCTTGGCGACGGAGGTGTTCTCGTTGTCAGATAACACAGTGGACGACGTCAATGATGTTGAGAGGCTACCGCGACGAACGTCACGGCGAGAAGAGCGACGGGTAGCAGTGTTCGGACACATGATTGATAGTAAATAAGATGGGGTTGGTGGTCAGACTTTAGCGAGGGTGTTGGTGGTAGTCTGGAGTGAGCTGAAGAGAAGGTCCGACACGCAGCCACCGTCGCCGTTTCTTCCCGGACTCCTCTTCCTCTGGCCCTTCCTCTGGCGCATGCACATTTCCATGATCCCCGTCCCATCTTTCTCTACTCTTCCAGTGCCGAAGACGACTCGCAAGACGAACGGGATCCAGCGGAGGAGGTGAGAGGCTGCGCCGGAGTTCTTGATCAGCTTGAGCGAGGCGAAACCGGGGATGGTGAGGAGGACGGAGGGATATGTGCAGCTTTTAGTCAGGGGATGCTTGGGCGGGATAGAGGGAATCGATGTGAGAGAGGAGGAATTGGGTGGGTGGAAGAGTTGGGCAGGTGGTTGGAGGCTGATGTAAGTCTTTTGTATTTCTTTTCGTTCTTTGGTTTCCTTGTGGGTGGAGTGGCGAGAAGGAGGTTTGGTGCGTTGCGGTGGGAGCCTCGTATGTTCGGGACAACGTGGAAATTAATGAGGCGTTGAGGCTTTTTTCATCGCTCATTCCTTTCACTTCTTCTTTCTGTATCGTTCCCGTGCATTGATCAGAAGCTGATTATATTTCGTTGTTTGCCCTCCTCGATGCATATTACACGATCCCGCCCGCCTTCCATATCCTACCCACGCCACTCCTCTCGGACGAAATATTCACTCACCACCTACCCGATCGCTCAAATCAATGGACAAATCAACAAAATCACACTTACCGACCAAATCTCGACCACAATCCAGCCCTCCGACGACCCGACAGACGATGCCTACCCCCGCATCTATGAACAATCGCTAGACAGGCTCGCGTGCGCGGTCGGCGGGAAAGCGGCGCTGCCCGCTGCGTTTCAGTTGATACCAGGCATGTTGGTACGTCGTTTTCACCTTGGTCGTCTCCGTTCCCCTTGGTCATTTTCTTTCTTTCTTTCTTTTTCGTTGTTATTATTGTCTCCATCAGCTGATTCGTTTCGTCCTTTTATTCATCCTGTTCACTTTTGGGGCTGCTGTTCGTGACGGCGACGGTGCGTATCGATGCGACGGTGCGATGGTGTGTTGGTGCTGGTATGTTCGGTTCACATGGTGCGATAGGCGAGCCACGATTGGAGGTTGAGATACGCGGGCCTCATGGCCATCGCGGCGGTAGGTGAGGGAACGGGTAAGGTGATGCAGAATGAGCTGGGGAAGGTCGTCGAGTACGTTCTTCCCTCTGACCTCATTTTTTCTCCCTTGGCATGAAGTGTTTGTCTTTCGCCGTGGACGGTTGGCTGTGTCGTTTGGTTATTTACGAAGGGATTGGGGGTGTGGGTGGATGCAGAGCGGCTGAACTGGGCAAGTCGTGATCGGGTTCCTCGATATTGTGTTCGTGGACAGATATTGAATTCGAGGCAGGGGCGGTAGCTTAGAGAGGGAGCTACAGTGACGAACGTAGAAGACGGGGGAGTGTGTGGCGGGAGCTTACTACTACGCGTGAGACGCCACTCGGATGAAATGCTGATCTTGTTTTATTTTATTTTCTCTAGCTTGATCCTCCCGCTTTTCAGCGATTCATATCCGAGAGTACGATATGCGTCTTGTCAATGCGTGTACGTCCCTGCTGTCTGCCCTTCCGTCCTCTTGTCCGCATCCTTCCTCATCTCCTTCGATCCCCCTCTTTACTTGTTTGTTCACTTGAACTAATCCTCAACCTCGTCGATCTAGCGGCCAGCTCTGTACAGATGTCGAGGTACGTAACGATATCCCAACGCGCACTTTCGCGAAGCGTAGATCTTGAACGTTGACGTGTTCCGTTGTCGCTATTCAAAAAGTCATCCAGGCGGAATACCATCAACAGCTTTTCTCAATACTCATCCTCACGCTCGAGGCTCCCGAGTCGAGGTACGTGTCATCGATCTACGTGTTCTCCTTTCCACATATTCCACCGCCACTATTCTTCCTGTTCTGTGCTATTTCTCAGACTATCGGCTGCCCTTCACCCGCTCGTTTCGCTCTTCACGACCTTTGGGCGACTTTCATTCGTTATTTACCCACTCTCTTCGTTGTCCGGATGATATCTTTATGAGACACCATTCTGACTTACCTGCCCTCGCACCTTGTTCGTGACAGAGTGCACGCCCACGCCGCAGCCGCCCTCATCAACTCCTGCGAAGGAGTCGAGCGCGACACGCTCATCGCGTACCTTGATCCTATCGTCGAGCGGCTCCTCAAACTTTTTAAACCTGCTGGCCTCTCTCCCGCGAATGCAGATGCGAATGGGGCTGGGAACGAGAATCCGACAGGCATGAAGAGATATGTACAGGAGCCGGTGATTACGACGTTGGTCATGATTGCGGATGCGAGTGAGGATACGTTCACGAAGGTGAGTTTTTCTTTGTTCCCCTTGCGTTTGTGGCTGGAGTTGAAGTCATGTTATTGACGTCGATTTGGTTTCTTCTTGCGTCGGGTGACGTTGTGTCTGGGTGGCTTGTACTGGCGTGGATGATGTGACACTTTGGTGGCTCGTGGTCGAAATAGCATTACTCGCGCATCATGCAATTGCTCCTGAATGTCCGCAAGAACGCGAACCGACCGGAGTATAGGAAGTTGAGAGTCAAGGTGATGTAATGTGCCGGATTGATCGGTACGTCGAGTCTCCGTCTCCCCTTGTTGAATTCGTTCAATCCGTCCGAGCCTCGATGTGCTGACTATACTTTCTTTACTTATAGCGATCGCGGTGGGACGAGATGTATTCCGGCCAGACTCCCAAATCTTCATAGAGCAGTTGATCCGATTATAAAGTACGTCTCTCTTTTCTCTGTCTTTGCGCCTCGATTTGACTGTTGCATGTCTGCGTTCGAAGACAGCCCGGTCGATCCCGGCGATGCCATGCTCCCTCACTACCTCATCGCGACGTGGGCGAAGGTCTATCAGGCTATGGGATCCGAATTCGAACCTTACCTACCGGTGGTTGTGCCGCAACTTTGTTAAGGGCTGCGAGTGGACGTTTCAATCTACAGTAGGCTCCCTTTCATTCCCTTCTCTCGCCCCATTCCATGTTTTCCCGTCAAGCACTCATGATTCTTGGTCACGAATGTCTATAGAAGGCGAGGACGTCCCGGAATACAAAGAAGGGTGGGAGACGATCACTAGGGGCGGAACGCAGGTCGTCGTTCGCACTTCCGCCATCAACGAGACATATCAGGCTTTCGAGACATTGGTAATCTACGTGTCCACGCTCGGGACACACTCCAAAACAAAACTTGGAACAAACCCTTTTGAACTATCCGGTCATAACCAACACACTCGCCCACAATCGCATCCTGCCCTTCGCCTGTGCCTGGCCCTCCGCCCCCGCGCTCGCACCTCGACCCTCGAAATACCTCTCTCCGTACCCCATCAATACTTCGCCCAATAAGTTCAGACCGTACCCTTCGATTGATCATGTACGGTACCGTCCAAACCTTCTTCTCACTCACCCCGTCTGTGCCCCTTGGTGACTTTGTCGTACTGATATGAACATGTATCCGTGGCGACGTCAGGTACTCCAATGCTATCCCCACTTCTCCGAAGTCCCTCTCCGACGTCCAACCGCAGTTCGAGGAGCTTCTCACCGTCTGCTCCATTCGGCTCTCCCTCTCCCGTCCCGAAAAACTTGCTCTGCTCCGCTCGATACCTGCACGAGAACTCACCAGCAAAGTCATGGGACTGAAGATGCACACCTTCCGACCGGTGCTGGACGGTGCCTTCTTTCCGACAGATCTGTTTGATAGGTTCAAGAATGGAGACTTTGCGAAGGAGTTCGAGAGGAGACGGTTGGAGTTGTTGATTGGTGAAGTTCGCGACGAGGTGAGTCGTACCTCTCCATCGGCTTCTGGTCGCTCAGATGGACTGATAGCTCATGCTATTTTTGCTCGTACACAGGAAACCATTTACCGCCAAACGAACCCACCGGACTCGCTGGAGACCCTGCATCTTCAAGTCTCCAACTACTACCCGTCGCACGTATCGGACAAGCTCATCGACGCTTACCTCACGCGCAAGGTTCACCTTCCGTACGCACACCCAGACCCAGACCCGAATATCGACGCATGGAAGAAGGTATATGGGGATATCAGTATGTTTATTTTCTATCGTTCTTTGTCCCACTCTCCCACTCCGAACGCTATGTCCTTACTCGTTCTCTCACCTACCCCAGTCTCCGATGGTCAAGTTCGTGCCCCCTACCGCCTCCTAATTGACCAACTGCGCCACGCAAACGTCCCTCTTTCCCGCGTCCACCGCTACCTCATCTCCTACCGCCCCTCCTTCATGGATCGCGTCGCTCCCGCTACCCTCGGCGTCGGCCACGCTTTCGACAAGCCCATCTGGAATATCTCGATCATGCATGGGCCGACAGAGGAAGAGGAAAAGGCGATGAGGGCTTGGATCGCTGACCTGAGGGAGTTTGTGAATCGCGGATTGAGTGAAGAGACGGGTGGGAAGGGGTATGGGACGAAGGAGTGGGAGGAGTATAAGGTTTTGGCGGAGGATGGGAAGATCGAGGTGAGGAAGGATGCGAAATGGGCGTATTTGCTGGAGGTTGGGGAGATTATGGCAGTCTAGAAGGGTTGGTTCAGGTTGTGATTGGTTTCTTTCGTAGTCCGTGGTCTTGCCAGGTTTTTATTGTCGAACGACAAACAATCATCTCATGACGGCCCATGTACCAGTTCATACCCACTTCTACGATGCTTGAGTTCTTTCATTTATTTATTCTCCCTTGGTTGGCCTTTGTTAAATCGATAGTGTAATCTTTGAACTCCTGAGGTGCTTCTTCGCTCAATCGTCCTTTGTCTCTGATTTCTTTGTCGCGGACACATAAATTGGAGCTACGGGTAGAAACTATACACCCCTCCATCGATTCGAGCATCGAACATACGGTATCCTGAGCTACTCCAAGGAGATACAGCCAGGGATCGGCGCAGTATATCGAGTCGAGTACATAAACGACGCGCAAACAACGACACACACCGGCAAGCGTCCCTGAGCCAGCGACGGAGATTGTTGGCTGCACCCCACACTCGTCGTCGATCGTGTGAGTGCCATACGTATCCTTCGTTTTTATCTGCTTTTCTCCGCCCTGGTCGTGTCCGATGCCGAAACATCCCTCTTCACCATCACAATCCCCATCGCAATCACACTCGCTTTCGCCTCCAGCACTTGACCAACAACAATCGTCTCCTCGCTTCGAACTCGGTAACAACTCTCACTCGAATTTCCACAACGCTTCACAATCACCACAACCACAACAGCATGACGACATTTCGCACTCGCCATCTCAAACCGCATCAGCTTCAGGATCAGGCTTGAATTCTACTTCGAGACACGATGCAGATACAGCCACCTTTACTGGATCTAAGAACGTCGATACGCGTACTGGAAAGAGAAGATACGCAGCATCGTGCGAGACTTGTAGGCGCAGGAAGAGGAGATGCGATGGGAAGGGAGAGAATGGAGAGAGTCTGTGTAAGTTCTGTCCTCAGGCGGGGATTCCGTGTGTATTCCCAAGGTGCGTGGCTTCACGATATCTTCCGCACCTTCGGTCTCTGATCGTTTCCTCTTCATCTCGATTGCTTCGTGCAGGTCCGGAGAAGCCTCGAGGCTCGAAAGCGCCATCGCTACGGCAGCAGCTTCCCAGTCTTTCATCGAACAGCTCGCGAGCGCTGGAGATGATGACCGCGAGCGGATGCTCATGGAGTGGATGAAGCAGCGCGATGACGGCGAGGTCAGCAAGCCGATTGTGTCGACGAGGAAGCGAAGAACGTTGGTGGAGAAGGAGGAGGTCGAGGAGGACAAGTTGGATGAGAGCAGCAGTCTTCCCGAGGTGCGTGCCTTTTTCTTCTGCGTGTCTTTGTCCTAGTTAGGTTGTGCCCATTTGACGCATTTTTTGGTTGATAGACCAGTGCAGAGTCCACCAAAACCTCAAATATCATCGCCGTCTTTGACCGAGCAGCAGACGAAGATTCGTCCGTCAAGGAGACTGCTGCTCTACGCCAGGACGCACTCAATCGACTACTTGCGGTCGCCGTCAATAGCTTTTCGGAATTCCGTATTCCTACCTTAGCGGAAAGCCAGTTGATGATGGAGAGCTACCTCTGGTGCGTTTGCGTCGTCCTTTCTTTTGCTGTCGTATTCTAATCTCGCGTTCTTAGCTGGCAGAATCCTCGGTACGAGGTGATTTATCGACCTGCTTTCGAAGGTACGTGAATCGCAACTTCTGAATTAGTCGGTCTACGTACGTATTGACCATCTGCCTCGGTCAGAAAGCCTCCATACCAGCGAACCCACGTTCTGTAACGACTTCCTCCTATGGTGTATTTACTCCCAAGCATCAAGACATATACCAGAGATGCGAGATCGGCTACATGAGTTTGCAGTGCGTAGCCCCTCTTTATTTTCTGTCTTCGACTTCGAATTGACGCGGATACCGCTATTTTCAGGCGAGAGCCCATTTGCTCCTGGCGGTCGAGCTCAGTAGGCCAAGCGCGATCGCGACTGTTCAAGGTCGGCCTTTCTCGCTTGGGTGATTATTCCTCGAGCCTGCAGGCTGATTTGCACCAGGTCTCCTCCTCATTTCTGGCCACAATGCGGCTGAGGGCCTGTACTCTCAGGCATGGGTCATGGCTGGCTATGCGTTCCGAATGATCGAAGGTAAAAACCGATAGCAGATCACTTTCTTTTGGCATTCGCCTCTGACCAAACGTTACCTGTGATAGACCTTGGATGGGAGCGTCCGAATCGCAGCTATGAAGGCCTGCTGGAGAAGCTACGGACGGCCGAATTATGCACGTATTGGGCGGCATATACATGGGACAAGTACGCATCCCCACTCTCGATCTTTTGGGTATCACCTTTACTAACGAAATAGAACGCGCTTGTTTCAGGACCCTATCCTTATCCCTAGCCAAAAAGCCTACCTTGAGGCCGAAAGAAAAGCCCTCACTTCCGCGTACGCTTTCAATCTCTGCCTTTATCGCGCCCCGACTAACCACCGGTCGTTGGTGCTGTGACATGCTTAGCTGTCGATGATGGAGGAACCTCGTGGAAACCATTCTATTCGGACATGCAGTGGGCTGAGTTTACGACAAAGCCGTACTCTGGTGCCCAAGCGTCGTTCGAGATGAGATGCTTCCGATAGTAGGTAGCGCCCCATTATTTCAGCAATACAGACAGTGCTGACTTTTACCAAGTTCGTGCTCACTCTACCAGGTACTTACACACCTTGACTTTGTTTGTCGATTGTGTCTGTAACTGACCAACTCATTGTTGCTAGTTCCTCGACGAAGTACTCGAGCACGTTTACTCCATCAAAGAGTCACGCCTCCTCCAAGCTCGCGATTTCGTTCTTAGTATGCGAGATCGCATGATAGCGTGGCAAGCTCAGGTGCCCGTCGAAATTCTCCTTGACGCGGACAACCTTCCACCGGTGTCGCCACCGGCGCACGTCATACAGTTCAAGTAAGCTTTCACGACATTTTCTGGCTTTCTTCGGCGTAAGCAGTAGTGTTGACCATACTTCACCGGGTTTAGTCTTTTGGTCCACACGATTTGGATCCTCCTCTACCGCCCCTTCGCCCAAACCGGCTCCCTCGCCGTCCCATACGCCGCCACAGCGTGCCGAAAGTCTGCCCAAGATATTGCCGCCTGCCTCCGCCTCTTCAAGAATTCATTCTCCGTCGCTCGGTCTACTTACCTAGCTACCTGCGTCCCGATGCTACGTAGTAGTATCGCTTTTTTCGACGGAGCGCCTAACGGGGCCCCCATACCCTTGTGAGCATCTTCATTTGAGAGACCGCCAAAAAGAGTGCTCTCCGAGGCACACACTTAGCGCATGCACAAACGAACTTAACTAGCAAACGAACTTACTGTACTCGGACCCCGCAAGAAACGAACTTACTGAGAGAAACGAACTTAAGCCTAGAAACGAACTTACAGTGAGAAACGAAACTAACACAAGAAACGAACCTACGATGAGAAACAAACTTACTGCACGAAACAAACTTACTGACGAAACGAACTTACGCTGAGAAATGAACTTACGCTGAGAAACGAACTTACTGTAGGAAACGAACTTACGCTGAGAAACGAACTTACGCTGAGAAACGAACTTACGCTGAGAAACGAACTTACTGTAATCCACAGGTATTCACATATAAGTATTCCCATCCGGTATCCAGAAACGAACTTAACGGAGGAAACGAACTTACTATAGTCTACGCGTATACACATTTGAGTATGCTCGGCCGACGTGCAGAAACAAACTTAAGCTACCAAACGAACTTACCATAGTCTAGCCTTATACACGTGTGAGCAAGCGAAGTTACTGACACAAGATCATTTACCCCGAGCAAAAGGTCAAGGCAACAGCAAAGCGAACTTACACTCCGAACCGAACTTACCACCAAAAGTGATCTTGTACACATATTCAGACCCGCTCACGAGCTGTGGCTGGTTTCATGATACATAGGGTTGTCTACAATCACAGGCAGTCATAAGGCCCAGGTGCCATGCTGCATAATAACTTCTATCAGACATACTACACAATTTCAGAGGTAAGCTGACCAGCAGAGAGCAGCTCACGCGTGAGCTGCAGATTACATAAACAGGCGCCTAATTCACGCCACACTCGAGTGGCCCGTCCCTCTCCCATACCCAAGTTCCCACTGATCCACCTGTCCCAGACTAATCGTGCGCACCTGCAAACTGCCCCGTTGAGTCGACAAATCATGAGAAAAATCTATCTGCCGCCCATATTATGCATCACGGAAATCTGCCGAGTCCTGCAAGCTCATATATTTCGTTCGCAAGGTCATATATGTGATCCAATCGCTGAAATACTCCTACAACAAGTGAATTGGGTTATTGTGCTCATTCACATATTGCAAGGCCTATAGCGAAGGACCCCAAGTTACTATAGGCCCTCAAAATCTGTCGCGGGTCACATCTCTTCAGCCCAGGTTGTGCTTTCGAGTGTCCATTTTGACAGCGTGATCGAGCAATGGACTGTTCGCGAACAATGACATTGTGTATTGGGTAGCGCTACAGTACATAGTGGTACAGACATTAAGATACAAAGGACGAGGTAGCAATTACAGGCAGGGTGTTATACAAATCGGGCGACAGCAGCAAGAGACGAGACCAAAGAAAGTAAGAAACATGTAGTACTCCACTGGCATGGTCGGACAGAAGATGCGAGTGTGCGTAAAGGTGCTCAAGATGAGGTACGAATGTAAGTAGTTGCCCGCATACGACAGCGCGTCGCGTACGACGTTCACGCCGTACATTGATGATGTCATCCCCTAGTCCAAAGACGAAGCACAGTGTCTGCTTCGTCTTGTGTGGAGGGAATGTGGGAAGGGACGAAAGCGAGCGCAATAAGAAACAGACAGGAACGAAACGAAACGAATGCAACAACGCTAACGGACCCCACCTGCCACCTTCGCGTCAACACGCGCTCGCCTCGCGAACGTAGTCCAGGGGCGTCTGAGCCGTAAAGCGCCATGTGAAAGAAAAGGCTTTGGCCATCGTAGAGTGAAGGCTGGAGCTGAAGACCAGCGAAGGCGTCAGACTTGGGGGGAAAGGGGATGATGGTGGTACAACTCGAAAGGGACTCAGCCCGCGCAAGAAAATGATGAGTGCGCTGGCGAGTCCCACGCTGAGTCCCAAACTGCGCCTTCTTTGGTGACGCATCGATTCCGGCCGAGCTCGGCCGGTCTAGATATGGGGCTGATCCCAAGCCAATCCAACATTTCGCAGCTTTCTAAGCTTGAACAACCTGTTTCAGCGTAAATAAGTGTTTTCAAGTGCAATATAACTGCAGATAACCCACGGTCACCTTGCGCCACCATTTATTCGGTACAATCAATTGTAAGCCTCGGCGGGAATCCGTGATGTGGTGCTACGTGCGCCTCGCAGACAGAAACCTGTATTGCGAGCGCAATACCGTGCCCACCAATGTCGATGAGGGTTCGACGGATGCCCTGCGTATGAGGAGTGTTCAATGGCAATAAAAACCGCATGTGGAGAGGAAAAAATCGGTGGCAGGTGCGAAGAGGTAAGTGAGTGACCTCGAATTCCAGACGCGAAACACGTCCGAAAGCCCCAACCTCAACAGAGACACTCCATTTGGGTGGTAAAGAGTGCCTTCCACCAAAAAATGAAAGGCGAAAAAACCGAATGAAAAAAAGCACACTATGTTAAGGGGGTGCATCATGCCCCCAGGCGGACCATCGTCAACTGTGGGCAACTGGGATAGAAAACCATTAGAACCAAAGTCCTCAGTGGTCTGAGTAGACATAAGATC